AGGATAAAGTATTCAATATCAGAGATAGTGCATATGTAAATATAAATATAAAAGTGAACATTGAAGTCAACACTAGGGCGACAGGCTGTTTCATACTAGACACAATTGTCAGGCAGCCTGACAATTGCGTCTAGCATGAAACGGCCTGTCGCCTCTGAGTGTTGACTTAAATGTTCATTTTATATTTATATATATATATATATATATATATATATATATATATATATATATATATATATATATATATCCAAATGTAAGAGAATGAAAATAATATATGAATTCTAACATTCACAGCATTAATTATATATATACATTATAATATTTTTGTTTAAAAATATGTTTTTATCGTGACATAGAAATTACTATGTTTCGGAACTAAAAATTAAAATTAAAATTTTGTTACTTTTACAAGTGATGTTGAAAAACTTCAGATAAAAGGGCATTTTTATCTGAACTTATTCAACATCACTTGTAAATGGAACAAAAATTTTAATTTTAATTCTGAAGCTTAGTGATTTCTGTGTCACGATGAAAACATTTTTAATTAGTAATATTTATGCTCTACTTTGTATTGAACACTTTTTTAAAAAAATAAATGCTAAAGAACTGTGGATTATTAATCTGACAGTTTTTTTTTTTTTTTTTATTTTATATATATATATATATATATATATATATATATATATATATATATATATATACTGAGATAGTAATTTTATTCTATACATGTTCCTTAAAATCAATCAGGTACAATTTTGTAAATACTTTTTTCTGTATTAATCGACAGTGTTATATTCTTATAATTCTACTTTTAAAAGTTATAGAAATATTCTTTATTTGAGACTAAATAAAACAAGTTTGTTGCTTAGATTGCAACTGTGGAGCAATAGGCAAAAATAAAATCAAGTTGTCTTTTTAGTTTTTATCAGCTACAGAGTTTCATGCTAAGTTTTCCATTATTTTGACAAATATTATAAAATAATTTCTGATCCCTTTTCATTGATTTCAGAAACTAGAGATAATCAATTCAAATCTGTTGTCTATGTTTCTTGCGAATCAAATTCCTTCCCGTTTTTCATTTAAATAACGGAACGTACATAGAGGCTACTTTTATTTTGACAATACGAATGCCAAAAAGAATTAAAATCTTCATAACAAGGGGCAAAATGATAAGCACAACCAACTTTGTGAAAAAAAATCGAGGCTAAATCTTCCAGATTTTTAGAAATGTTTTGCTCTAAACTGCAGTTTTATTAGCAGGATAAGAAAAAGATGTAACAGCTTTTGTATAAGGGCAAAATCATCTCCAAAACATTTTGAAAAATCCTTTCCTGATATTTCAAATTTATTAAATATATCATCTTTTGTATTGTTTTTTATGCATAATTCCTTGTAGAGAAACATTAAGATTCTTCTAAGTACCATTTATATTTGTCTTTACTTCTTCACTGAAAATATTATCTATTTCGGTTCCATAAGTAAATAATATCAACATACAATTGTGGGAAAAAAAATTTTCTTTAAAGAATTTCTGTTAGATTCAAGCATTCTCTAAAACATCTGTCATTGAAAAAATATATTTACAATTTAAAAAACAAACAACGAAAATCAAAATATACAATATTATCCTAAAAAAAAATTATTTGAATTATTTTCTTTTTAAAATTAAATATTTTCCAGATTTCATCTATTGAGCCTGATAATCCAAGATTTTTTTTTCTCCCTAATACAGCAAATCAGCAAAATATTTTGCAAATGATGGGTGAGATTAGTTAAAGAACTGATATTTTGAAGACAGGAACCAAATTTGCTTAATGTTAGTTTTAATAATCACAGTGTGTTATTTTCGCAAAGGTTTAAAAAAGGTGGCATTAATGAATTGACTTTTAAAAAGTGGGCAATCGACCATTGGTCATGGAGATATCCAGGAATATATATATATATATATATATATATATATATAGAGAGAGAGAGAGCTAGAAATAAGCAAAATTTATATGACATTTTTAAAAAGCTAAAAAACAACCAGTTTCATCCCAGCCTTATCAAGTTTATTTCTGGGATATAAAAAGCGTGTAAATTTAATTAATATTAATGATAACAAATGAAGAAAAAAAATATGAATTTCAAGAAAGCTAGAGTCCAATAACATTCAGACGCAGTAAGCATTCCCTCTGTTGACAGAGGGAAGGCCCACGGGATCTGATATACAAGGACTCTAGAACCTTGAGGTGATATGGGGAGTGGGACCTAGATAAAATCAAGAAATGTTCACCACTAAAATCAAAAACACAATTCCTGCTATTTATTACATGCTCTGCAATAGAAGAGCCAGAAATATTGGTTAGTTGACTTTTCCTGGCATCTGGATTCAAAATCCTGGGGTAAGTGTTGTTTTATTCTCAGATCCAAATGTTAGGACGTCCTCCCTATGTAGTCTAGTCCACAACTACACTTATATTTATAGATCACTGAATTAAATAAATCAACTAAATAGCAGGAATTGTGTTTTTGGTTTTAGTGGTGACCCGTTTCTCGATTTTATCTAGGTCCCACTCCACAATATTAATTAAATTTACACGCTTTTTATATCCCAGAAATAAACTTGATAAGGCTGGGATGAAACCGGTTGTTTTTTTAGCTATCATTAAATTTTGTACTACAAAAACTTTATATATATATATATATATATATATATATATATATATATATATATATATATATATATATGTATGTATGTATGTATGTAGGAATATGGCAGGGTTAATGTGAAAGATAATTATTAAAGGTTTTTGTTCTTGACGAAAATCTTTAAAAAAAAAACAAAAGAAAAGTTTTGAGGAGATTCAAGATTCAACCAAAATAAATGCTTAGAATTCAATATCCCCATTTTTTTTTTTAATCTTTCCTTTTCATTTGTTCAGTTATGTTTGATGATAAATATAATAAGTAAAACTTAAAGTGAAGGAACATTTCCCATTGTTCCTGAATTAGAATCAGCATCAGTAATAGAATATTTTGTGGTGCATATTAAGACACAAAGCATTTGAGAAATTCTTCAAAGTTTCAAATAATATTATTCACTTGAGGCATTCGAATTAGAGAATAGTCATTGAAGAAGATAATAATTCATTAAAAATTCTAACACTAATTTGAATATCAAATTAACAGACAAACATGATTTTCAAACTAACCAATATTTTCTATGATTTTCATTAACTGGACTCTCCCCACCCTCCAAAGTATATTTTAATCACTTGAGATTATTGTGTGCATGTGTGTGCAATATGTGTGTGTGTGTGTGCAATGTGTGTGCAATGTGTGTGTGTAAGCAGTATGAAATGTGTGTATGGTGTGTTTGTGCAATGTGTGCGTAGGCTGCAGTAGGAAATGTGTGTGTAGTATGAAGTGTGTGTGTGTGTGTGTGTGTGTGTTCAATGTGTGTGTGTGTGTGTTCAATGTGTGTGTGTGTGTGTGCAGTGTGAAATGTGTGTCGTGCAATGTGTATGGGGAGCAGTGGGAAATGTATGTGTAGTGTGGAATATGTGTGTGCAATGTGTGTGCATGGGCAGTGTGAGTATGCAGTGTGAAATGTGCATTGTGCAATGTCTGTGGGGAGCAGTTTGAAATGTGTGTAGTGTGAAATGTAGGTAGTGTGAAACGTGTGTAGTGTGAAATCTGTGTTGTGCAATGTGTGTGTAAGGGAAGTGTGAAATGTGTGTGTGTAGTGTGAAATTTGTGTGTATGTGTGTGCAATGTGTGTTTGCGTGTGTGTGTGTGTGCAGTGTGAAATGTGTGAAATGTGTGTTGTGCATTGTGTGTGTGTGTAGTTAGTGTGAAATGTGTGTGTGTGCAGTGTGTTTGTAATGTCTGCACATAATGTGTTTAGTAATATGAAATAACATCAGATTAAAAAATCAATTAATTGTTTATATATATATATATATATGTGTGTGTGTGTGTGTGTGTCGGTTTGCGTCAGAGTGTATATCTGTGTGCAGTGTGTCTGAGTGTGCAGTGTGTGAATATGTACACATTCAAACACATTTAGATGGAAAGACTTTATATAGACCTTATGAAAATCTATTTTATGTAAATAATAATAAAAACAAAATCCCAAAAATGAAGTAAACACTGATAGGACATTGGGCAGGCAATCGACGGGCGGTTTATGTCACTTTCTCTCACAACTAATGAGATTTATGGAATTTTTGGCAACTGACAGAAAACTCGGTGTTTTTCAAACACTGCCCTATTACCTTTGTCTTATGATATTTGCCCTGAGGGCAGGGGACGGCTAATGGCATACAGGTTTTTTTTCCTTCTGATCTTGGAATATAATATAACAGGATTCACACACACACACACACACACACACACACACACACACACACACACACGCACATGTACACTGCCACCAATTAATAGAACATACACATATAAACTAATACACACATACCCACACAAAGTATCTTTATATTATTCATTTTGTAATATAAAGTTATGGCTCATCCACTCTTTTAAGAATGCTTGAAAAACTATACATGTCCTTGAACCATCATTAATATCTTGGAAACTTAACAGTTCATTCTCACTGGAGTTGGAACGTCAAATATGATAGACATGATCTGAGTCTGCATGAACTGAGCAGCTGCATATGAAAGAGTGTTATTATCGGTTGCATATCCATATAGAATATTAATGTAGGTATATATGTATATCAGTTAAGATCGGCTTAACTTCCTTGAGGTGTGCAGGTGTATAGAAATTATGTACAAATGTATAAGTACACACAAGAAGGTGTGTACTTATATAGTATCAACAAAGAATTTTTGTTAGTTTTTTTCTTTTACTTTTTTTTCTTTTTTTCACAATCTGTACTGCATGTGGCTCACTACTCGACCCTTCTCACTGAAAGTCTTCTTGCCGAAAGACCCTAGTGAGTAGCAGCGACTACAGCAACCAGGCTGCGGGATTGTTTTTTACTTTCTTTCTGGGACTTAAGTTGTGGGAGCAGTTTCCTTCATGTTGACATAATCAACTTGTGGTTTCTTTGCATTTTGCAGTATTTTGAGGTCTTCCATTGTCTGAGGCAGCTGTTGGTCACGCGTTTCTGGCAGAAGGAAAAGCAGGGCACATGCAAATAAGCAGCCTGACCCAAAGAGTGTGCCCGGAGCCCAAGGCAAATAAGAGGCCTGTAAGAATTAAAAGACAGTAAAATTAACAAAACACGAGGCCCACACATATTTTGTTGTTTATTGATTAATAAAGAAGTTTTGCATTACTCATCTTGAATACTACTAAGAAAGAGACGATATCTTCAAAAGCTGATAAAATTATTACAGCTGACAATATAAACCAAGCTTTTAGTTTTACATGTTATTTCCTTCAACTTCTCTTTAAATAGATATTTCAGTTACTCACCAATAATCGAGTCAGAGGTGCTAACATACTTGCAGTACGAGAAGAAGCAGAAGCAAGACCGACTCCAGCACTCCTACACAGAAGACGAAAAAAAAAAATAATCAGTTCAAATGATTGTTTAGCAATTATCAATGCTAATCAAATTATCAATTTCAAGAAATAGATATTTTTCAATATATTTTCAATATATTTGTTATATAAGCAAAACCTGTCACCATATTGAACATATTTGGCTATGATGTACGTGCCTGGTGTGCTCCTATCAGAATGGGTATAATGATGGGTATAGTGGGCTTTGTATATTTCTACCCCAGGGTAACGTTATTGGTTTGTTGCTGTCTCACGCAATAATAATAATATTATAGTAAGCTGTTCTATAATATACAATAGAAGCAAAACCGACTCCAGCACTCCTACGACGAAAAAAAAAAAAATAATCAGTTCAAATGATTGTTTAGCAATTATCAATGCTAATGAAGCTGTCAGTTTCTACAAACAGAATAGGAGTAGATAGGTTTGCCTATTGGCTGGTTCACATTCTTTCCTTGTCTTTTGAACAGGAGTAGAGGTTTATCCCTTATTTCCTGTTTAGAATTGGGTTTCCAGCTCCTTTTCATTCTCTTTCTTTCCCAGTAGTCTCTTGTGCCTTAGTGGCATTATTGCCTTGCTTGGGGTGAAATTATTTTTCAAAAAAGATATTTTTCAATATATTTTCAAGTTTTCAAATTCTTGCAATAAAAGAATTTGTGAAATAATTCCTTCTATAGAAGAGATAAAAGTTAATTTAAAACTACAAAACAAACTATAAGTTACTATTTTAACTTAATAAATAGTAAATTAGTTTAACAAGTCAATATTTTAATAATAATAATAATAATAAATGCCTTGACACAGATCACAAGGTATGGCTCCCATAGCTTCGTAACTTGACCGATAGAAAGTTTTAACAATGTCCATGACGTTTCTAGTGACTTAAGTTAGTCTACAGTAAATATTCTGTTCAGCATCAAAGATTAATTTGTCAGTTGCCTTAACCATTAAGGCATGCCCGTCAATGGTTTATCCACGCATCCTTTCTGGTTAATAAATTAATCCTTGGGAAATAAATATTTCACATTTTTCAACCAATGGGCTGCATTCCTGCCAACAATAAAAAAAAAACATGTTTCGTGATCCCTTTAAAGGGTATATAAGCAAATTCCCCAGGCCAGACAAGCCATTAACGAGTGGCAATATATGACAACAGAATCACAATACAGCACAGCTTAAAAGAGATTTCCTTATTCATTCACCTGTCTTCCTCATCAAACTACGTAACACTTACACTTTTCTCCTCACTTTCTCTTGCTTTTTTTTTCACACGTATATGAAGAAAAATCACATTTTTTTTCATCTCAAGAATCTACTACAAACAAGGAACTGTAACACTTGTACATGCTGTGAAAAATGTAGTCGTAAAAAAACATAAAAATAAAAATTATTACATATTTTTTATTGTTTGGTTGATTCAAATTTGCAACAGGTGTTTCAAAAGGAAGGTTTTTTTCTTCCTTGACACCACTACTACTGTAAACTCCCTTCAGACAACAGATTCACAATACAGCACGGCTTAAAAGAGATTTCCTTACTCATTCACCCATTTTCCTCATCAAACTATGTAACACTTACACTTTCCACATCATTTTCTCTTGCCTTTTTTTCACACATATATGAAGAGAAATCACATTTCTTTTCATCTTAAGAATCTACTACATACAAACAAGGAACTGCAACACTTGTACATGCTGAGAAAAATTAGTCGTAAAAAACGTGAAAATAAAAATAATTATATTTTTTTTTATTGTGGGTTGATTGAAATTTGCAACTGGTATTTCAAAAGGAAGGTTTTTTTTTTCCTTGACACTACTACTGCTGTAGACTCCCTTCACTCACTTGGCAATGTTTGTTTTTAAAAGTGATGATAATATTTTAATAAAACTCTAACATATTGTAATCGGATTTGGTTATTTGCATATGTTGGTTATAAAAGAAACAAAGTGTTATTAAAGAGTGAGACAAGAGGAAGTTGACTACTAATCACGTCATAGAACAACCTCATACAACACATGAAGTGGATTTATACATTTTCTTTATTCTTGAGAATTGACAAAGATATTAAACACTACTTATGTAGTAGATAGGTTGCCTATCAACAGGTCTGCACTCCTAAGGCTTTTGGACAGGAGTAGAGGTTTATCCCTTATTTAGGATTGGATTATTTGTTTATTATTTTCATCCCCTTTACTTCACACTAGACTTTGCGGAGTGAAGATAGAAATAAATGCCACAACAATGAATCATCAAATGACAAAAAAATGGCTTCTGAATTAGAGGAGCCATGCATCCTTCCATTAAATAAATTAATCGTTTGAAAATAAATATTTAACATTTTTCAACGAATGGTTCGCTTTCCTGCCAACAATAAAAAATATGTTTCGTGATCCCTTTGAAGGGTATATAAGCAAAATCACCAGGCCAGACATGCCAGTAAGGAGTCAGGAATGGCAACAGATGATGAGAGTGCACAACGGAGGTTTCAAAGAGATTCTCTTACTCATTCACCCATCTTCTTCACCAAGCTATGTGACATTTACACTCTTCCTCACCAAGCTACGTGACGCTTACACTCTTTCTCACCAAGCTACATGATGCTTACACTCTACCTCACCAAGCTACGTGACACTTACACTCTTCCTCACCAAGCTACGTGACACTTACACTCTTCCTCACCAAGCTACATGACACTTACACTCTTCCTCACCAAGCTATGTGATACTTACACTTTCCTTCTCACTTTCTCCCTTGCCTCTTTTTTCACTCTTCCATGCAGAGAAATCACATTTCTTTTCATGTTACAAACAGCTACAAATGATGACTGTAAAAACTTTAATACTTATAGATGTTATAAAAAAAACTAAGTCGTAAAACATGAAAATAAAAATACTTTTATATTTAAAAATATTTCTTACCTTTTTTTTGGCGGGGTTGATTCAAATCCGCAACAACCCAATCTAAAGGTATATATAATTGTCCCTAACTTACAAGGTTATGCATTATTTATATTGAAACCTGTCAATATAATGCACATATTAGACTGTGGCACATGTGCCTGGAGTACCCTTATCAGAATGGGTGTGGTGATGGGTATATTGGGCTTTGTATAAATGCAAATTATGAATTGGAGATAATAAACATCAAGCAGGTGCAGAAGTTCAACTATCTGGGAAATGCGACATTGAGATCCAAATATGCACTGGACTAGTGAAAGAAACATTCCAAACACTAAAGAAACAGAAAAATTTGTTAGAAACAAAGAAATAAGTGCCAGGTCGTTATGTTATATACCCTTATATGGCAGTGAATGTTGGACAATCTCCCCAGAGATGATGAGAAAACTAGAGCCAACAGAAATGTGGTTCTACAGAAGGATACTGAGAATTCCATGAATGGAGCAAATAAGCAACAAAGAAGTCTTAAAGAAACTAGCAACAGAAAGAAACTCATACTCAAAATCAGGAAAAAGTAACTGAAATTCCTTGGGCACAATGAGGAAGGAGGGTTTGGAAAACATAACCCTCACAGGGCATATTGAGGGCAGGATAGGGGAAAGCAGTGACCTGATGAGCTTGTGTGAATGGATGGTGGAACAGGGTAGGGGCCTTAGCAAAGGGAGAAAAACTGCTAAGAGCAGCGAAGAGCCACACAAAATAGAAAATCGTGGAGAGCCATAACTGCCTATGTCCTGAAAGGATATGAGACATAGAAGATATTTCTAGCCCAGGTACGACAGAAGCATGCTGCGAATACCATGGAACGAACATGTGAGCAATGATGAAGTTTTAGAGAAAATGGAAACAAAAAGGACACTTATACTTAACATTGGGAAGAGAGAATACCATGAATCGAATATGAAGAAGAGACTTGAAGCAACAGAAATGTGGTTCTACAGAAGGATGCTGAGAATAACATGGACTGAACATGTAAGCAACAACAAAGTTTTAGAGAAAATGGAAACAAAAGGACACTTATACTTAACATCGGGAAGAGAGAATACCATGGATCGTACATGAAGAAGAGACTTGAAGAAACAGAAATGTGGTTCTACAGAAGGATGCTGAGAATACCATGGACCGAACATGGGAGCAACGACGAAGTTTTAGAGAAAATGGAAACAAAAAGGACACTTATACTTAACATCGGGAAGAGAGAATGCCATGGATGGAACATGAAGAAGAGACTTGAAGCAACAGAAATGTGGTTCTACAGAAGCATGCTGAGAATACCATTGGCGTTTGTTTGTCTGAATGATATGTACCAAAAGTTGCAGATGTTTTCTAAGATCAACTAACACCCTCCAATCATAAGGTACTACTCATTTTGGGAGTTATTTGGGTCTTTACCTTCCTTGTGAAAAAGGATCTTAGGTTCTCTGGCCATTTTCAGGTTGCTTCACCGGTCACTAGTTCCCCATACTGAAACTGAATCCTCCCATCAGTAGACTGTTGCTTTGCTTGTTTTGCAACAAGAGAAATTAAGAAGTAACAACAACAGTTATAAAAAGTGTAATCTTTTCACACTAATGCCTTTGAAAAAGACATGAATTCATCCCTTCACTTATCAGTTATGGGCTAAAATAGCATTTGCTAAAGTGAACTCTATTCTTGTATGGCAATAAGTCTAAGAGAAATAAAACACAAAGGGAAATCACTCTGTTATATTTCCCAAGAGTACATGGTACTTAATAGATAACAAACACCCTCAAGGGGTGTTTATTAATAAAGAAAAAATCTGTAGAGAGTCATGATCACCTACATCCTGAAGTGGGGAAAACATATTTGCATTCAAAACCATAGAGAAAACGACTGCAAAACACTGCACTATCTTTCCTAAGAATGCATTGCAATTCACAAATAAAAAAGAAAGATATGAGAAGAGTCATGATCACCTAAATAGATATGACATGAAAAAGGACACAGGGATATGGCATAAAAATGACACAGGGATATGACATTAAAAAGACACAAAATATGGCATAAAAGCACAGGGAGAGACCATTAAAAATCACAGGGTTATGGCGTAAAAAGACAAAGGGATATGGGATGAAAAAGACACATGGATATAACATAAAAAAGACACAGGGATACAACATATAAAAGACACAGGGATATGGCTTAAAAAGACACAGGGATATGACATAAAAATACACAGGGATATGAGATGAAAAAGACACATGGATATAACATAAAAAAGACACATGGATATGGCATAAAAAGGCACATGGATATGACATAAAAAAGACACAGGGATATGACATAAAAGACACATGGATATAACATAAAAAAGACACATGGATATGGCATAAAAAGACACATGGATATGACATAAAAAAGACACAGGGATATGACATAAAAGACACATGGATATAACATAAAAAAGACACATGGATATGGCATAAAAAGACACATGGATATGACATAAAAAAGACACAGGGATATGACATAATAAAGATACAGACATACAACATTAAAAAGACACAAGGATATGGCATAAAAATGTCACAGGGGTATGACATTAGAAAGCCACAGGGATATGGCATAAAAACACTGGGATACAACATAAAAAACTCAGGGATATGACATAATGATACAGGGATATGGCAGATGAAGCACTGGGATATGGCATAAAGATGGCACAAGGATATGACGTAAAAAGACACAGGCATATGACTTAAAAAGGACACAGGGATATGGCATAAAAATGTCACAGGGATGTGGCATAAGGATATGACATAAAAAAGACACAGGCATAAGACATTATTAAAAGACACAAGGATATTGCATAAAAACACAGGGATCTGACATTAAAAAGCCACAGGGATGTGGTATAAAATGACACAGGGATATGGCATAAAAAGACACAGGGATATGACATAAAAGACACAGGGATGCAACATATAAAAGACACAGGGATACAACATATAAAAGACACGGGGATATGGCATAAAAAGACACAGGGATATGGCATAAAAAACACAGGGATATGACAGAAAAGACACAGGGATACAACATATAAAAGACACAGGGATATAGCATAAAAAGACACATAATAATGATACAGTTATATGACATATAAAACACTGAGATATGGCATAAAGATGACACATTGATACGACATAAAAAAGACACAGGAACATGACAGAAAAAGACACAGATATCCAGCCATGTGTTTTCCTTTTTACCTCAAACAGCTCCATCATAACATGATTGAGATAAAAGAAAACAACAAAAAAAAAAAAAACATAAAAATTCTTGCAGTGTGACCAAGACCAGTATTTCTCTCGGCAAAGATCATCCATAGTTTCTGAATACACTTTCAAAGAAGTAGCAAGTCTCAACAATTGGCTCAGCCATTTGCCTAGGCTAGGGAAACTCCAACAGAAGACTCCAACCTTACAACCAGTGTAGCTTACAACCTAAGTAGCTTAAAGGATATGATCCGTAATACATATATCACACCCAAATTAAAAATTTTATAAGCACAGGCCTGATGACTATACTACATCTCTTACGCCTGATTCAGTGGGGTTTGCAATATTCAAGGAAAAGCCTCCTAAACCTTTGTGGATTCAAGCTATGGTAAAAGTTTGTAGTGAAAACTGAAGAGAAACATGACAACACAGAGAGCTGTAGTGATAATTATACAATGTCGAAATCTCATTTCTATCAAAGTGTATGCTTACCTCAAATTGGTTGGATAGAGCTCAGGTGTATATAACCAGACACCTGAGAATGCACCACTGGCTCCCAGCATTCCAAGTAGTGTGAAGATGATTGACAGTATTTCAATCGTTGTATTCTTTTCTGAAATCATAACAATAACATCATTTGTATATAGTTGCAGTTCTTCTAAATCTGTAGAGGAAAAAGTGAAAAATTAGGCCAGATCTCTCTTAGAGGAATGAATATATGGTTCATTCTACAGAAGGTTTCATTCGTATTGATGCAGTTTTGGGAAATAAGAAAATGGAAAATACGCACAGATAACAGCAAAAGAGTTTCAAATACCAATGCGGCAATTACATATTGTAGGGATACAAAAGGTGATTATCTCCCTTTGGTGGACATAGGTCATTATAGAGCCAATTAGTGGCATCACTTCATACAGTGACAAAAGTGGCCAGTCATTCAGTTTGCTTACAGCAGCCTAACCAAGTGGTTGCTTTTTTTTAGCCTGGGCTAAGAAAATGCTACAGTTTGCAAGTCCATGGTGCTGTTTCTCTTTGTGAATATATCTTTCCCAGATATATAAAGAGACTCCAGATCGCAGTTCCTCAATTTGGGAAAACCCAATACTGGTGTGTTTCCTGTTTGTGGAATATGTCCTCACCTGGGACATAGTAGATGAATAGGGTCCATTTGAATCTGAAGTCTTAAACATAAACCATAACAATAGATTATTCTGACAACTTAATGTCCTATATCATTGAAATATTGTCTGAATTGCCTTAAAAGGATTCTGGAGGCTTCTAATAAATGGTGAGGTTACTTCATTTGCCTGACAAGAGTCCAATTGAGGTTTAATAGGATATAGTGGGAACATCTGTTTGAACATGAGATCCTAATATCAGGGAGCTGGAAAATGCTATGGCTCAACATCTCTTCAGAAGTTCTTCCAACCAATTATTAAACTAATAACATGTTTAGTTGTTGCATTTTACAGGGTTGGAAGAGATACTATATGTTAACAGACACCTATCTCTTGACTTTTTGCACCTCAGCATATATATATACATATATTTTCGTCACCGAGGCCCACTTGGGACAGTTGGTATGATGTCAGCTTAACAACCTAACTGTCAGGGTTTCAATTCTCGGTAGTGGATGCGCACTGCTGATGAGTCCTAAATATAGGACGAAACGGCCGTCCAGTGCTTTCTGCATTCTGTAGAGGTTTCTATCAGACTCGATGAATTAATTAAAATTTATCAAATCCTCCGATTAATTACTAATTGTCTTTATCATCGCTTGAACCGGCTTCTAATGCTACAGTAGGTAGCGGCTTGGTGATAGTAGTCGTGGCTCCAGGGGGCACAGTCCTATGGTAACAGCGAATCTCAGTCGAGTTCCGCCACGGAATATGTGAGATGACGGCGCTTTGTTGAGTCTGATTTGGAATCTCTTTCGTCACCGAGGCCCACTTGGGACAGTTGGTATGATGTCAGCTTAACAACCTAACTGTCAGAGTTTCAATTCTCGGTAGTGGATGCGCACTGCTGATGAGTCCCAAATATAGGATGAAACGGCCGTCCAGTGCTTTCTGCATTCTGTTGAGGTTTCTATCAGACTCGATGAATTAATTAAAATTTATCAAATCCTCCGATTAATTACTAATATATATATATATAATCATTTATTTGAAAATTATAACATAAAAATGTTATAAAATCATTTTATTTTATTCTACATTCAACACCATCACTTGAGAAGACACTAGAAGTGTTGAAACAAAATGGCTATTTTTGTAATGATTTTATAACATTTTTATGTTATAATTTTCGAATAAATGATTATAATTGCTCTACTCTGCATTGAGCACTCTTTTAAGAATAGTATTTGTTGGTTATTGGAATTTATTCCATATATGCCAATCCTATACTTTGATATATACAGGGTGGGGCAGAGCAACTTGCTTATTTAAATTTGGCGCCCTAAAGTGATGGTTGCTCCAAGGATGCTAGGGATGGACTTATTTGAGAGGGTAGGACTTAAAGTTTGGTTCTTAAAGTGCGTTATTTATTTTTTGTTTATTTTTCAGGAACCCCAGTGAGCATCATGGAGTGGACGAAGTTGGAACGTGCTTTTGCTGTTGAGGCATTTTTTTTCAAGCGATCGCTCAATCGTCGCAATGCAACGTGCATTCCGTAGACATTTCAATATTTCCCCCCGTGGTCGTGTTCCTGGCCGGCAGTCAATTGTTTCATGGGTAAACAACTTCAGGGAAACGGGTGATGTAAAGAAAAAGAAACCTGGCCTCCCACGAACAGCAAGGTCACCCCAAAACATTGACTCAGTGTATAGAGAAGAATGAACGCCATCTTACTGATATCATCTTTAAAACTGGTAAAAAATAAAATTTAATTGTTGAACTAGTTGCAGTTCAAAGAATTACATGTATACCTGCATTACTTGTGTTTTAATTGATATTCCAAATAAGCAAGTTGCTCTGACCCACCCTGTATATATATATATATATATATATATATAATTATTTTTATAAAAAAATTTATAACATAAGTATGTTATAAAATCACTACAAAAATAGCCATTTTGTTTCAACACACTCTGTGTCTTATCAAGTGATGGTGTTGAAAAGAAAATAAATGGTTTTAAAAGTTTCAGATTAATTAACGATCCTACACTAGGGGGAGCATTGTTACAAAAGCTAGAATAACCAATCAAAAACGAAGTACAGAAAGATTCAAAAGCTTGACAACAAAATCCTGCTATTATAGCTATTTAGATCTTTAAATACGTGTAATATTAAAAATAATTTTACTAACTAATAATTATAAATAATTATACTTTGATATATATATATATATATATATATATATATATATATATATATATATACGTATATATATATATATATATATACACAAATGAAATGAGAATGAATCAAATAGAAATCCAAATGTTCACAACATTATTTTAAAAATAGGGCTCAATACAAGAGTAGAGCAATGATTCTTTATCATAGGATATTACATTCGAACATATGTAAATCACTACATAAATGCATTCATGTTTCAGTGTATAATATTGCATCTCATCAGATGGTGGTAAATAAAGATTATTACAATTTTTAATATTACTGATGAGATGTGATGATATGCATCGAATCATAAATGCATTTATGTAGCAGTTTACAAATGTTTGAATGTCATATTCTATAATAAAGAATATATATATATATATATATATTCTTTATTATACGATATATATATATATATATATATATATATATATATATAAAAGTGAGCATTGAAGTCAGCACTCAGAGGTGACAGGCCGCCTGACGATTGCGTCTAGCATGAAACTGCCTGTCACCTCTGAGTTTTCACTTTTATATTTGCATACACTCTATCCCTGATATTGGGCATTTTATCCCATAAATATAGCACACCTTTAAATTATATTTCTCCACATATATATATATATATATATATATATATATATATATATATATATATATATATATAATATATATTTTTATTTTTATACATATTTTTTTTATATATATTTTAGTAAACAAAATTACCAGCAATATATTTTTTGAAAAAAATATTACCAAAGTTCACAAAAAAATTAAATTTTGGCATTAAATGACCCATAAGGAGTTGATATGCTGTTAAACAAACCAAATCAAACCAAACCAAACCAAACTATTAAGAACTAGCAGTATAACCTGCCTTTGACCGGGTCTTTCATTACTGGGAATTTTTGCCGTTCAATTTGGTCAGTTTAAGTTTTAAGTCAGCCCACCTGAAAAAATCAATATTAGTAACAACATTTGGGTGCAACTGAGGCATATCCCCAAATGGGGTTTTTAGGATAACAATCTGAAGGGAGGGGGGACTGAAAAGGGAACTGTATAATTATAAATAGTATTATTGTAATAGTTTAAACTATTTATTTTCATTAAAGTTTTTATGAAAGATATATATCCAAGAACAGACAGTAAATAGGAAAACATTGCTGAGAGTTATAATGGACAGGAAGTAGTGGAGAGCCATTGTTGCCAACAATTTGGATTCAAAACCGGCACTGAAGAATTATCTATCAAACAAAACATTTCATCAAAATCAGATGAAAACTGTGGAAATGCATTAACAACATCCAATCACACACACACACACACATTTTGAGAATTATAAATATCAATTATAATATAACAGAGTTATCTTCCCCTACGTTACATCCACACATTCTATGAACCAATCAGAAGCCAGCTTTTAACTTTTTCTTTTTGCAGCTTGATGCCCTCCTGTAGTGATGGGTCGGTTGGTTTAGGGCTTTCTTGGTTGTTGAAAAAGCTGCCAGCATTGAACCAAGTTAAGTGAACTCTTTCCTTTTACAATAAGTTGAGCCCCCACATATGCAATTCTAGTTTGCACCCATCCACTTTTTCATATAATTAACTACAGTTTGTACACTATTTACATTATTCGGAGTATTCTCCTCATCTTTGTCGCCATATTTATTACATCATTTTGGCCATTGGCGGTTGGAATGTCGAACTGAACCCTTTATTTTGCTCACTGTTCTAGTTCCACATGCTATGTCTAATGGATGTCAGTTATCAGTTATCTCCTGTTAATTCCCCTTTCCAAGTTCTCCACTGCCTTAACCAGGTATTGAACTCACACTCTTTGGGTCCTGTCACTGGATCTAACTAACGCTTTTATCCACTGTGCCATGGTGACAAAGATGAAGACAATAGTCCAAATAATATAAATAGTGTGCATAATACCTCATCTCAGAAATATAGATGACTACTGTTTGGTCATCCATATTGTCTGTGAAAATTCTCCCACATGTGTAAATCATTTATTTACATTTGAAATTACAGAGGTCTTCCAACCAAATGTAGAACTGATGCCATGTTCAGCTGACAAAAAGAGTAGGTCCTATACAATCAATCACATGAATTTTGTCGTGCCAGTGTATGTGAGAAAAATGAAAATAAAAAATAAATCAGCATAATTTTATACAATGTAGGAAAAGAAATATTTACCTTCCAATCCTTTCAACACAGCAAGTGAGATCAAGGAGAGTCCCGCAATGATCTGAAACACTGCGATAGAATTCCGTCTACTAAATCTACAAAAGCGATGGCAGATAAATTTGACAATTAATATATGAATAAAGTGATAGCTCAAAATAAAACAAGCATATAAGTATAAATGTATAACATATAGATATTAATATATATATATATATATATATATATATATATATATATATATATATATATATATATATATATACATACAAATAAAAGCTAAAAGAAAAAAAAAAAAAAAAATACACTACCTCGTCCAAAAAATTGAGAATGCTCTAATCAACAGGTATAAGACTTGGAATCATTCTACAATCCTAAATTCTTCAAGAGTTGGTCTGATTTTAAAGACGCCCCATAATTAATGAAATCTGCTTTTGTTAACAGGGAAATGCCAATATATATATATATATATATATATATATATATATATATCCGTAAACATATGTTGTTATGATGTTCCAAACAGTATTGGACTTTATTCTATTTCTGGATTCTTTTAAGAAGAAACCGTATATGTTTTCTTTTTTGTTTTTTTTAACTTAATTTTAAAAATCACATCTTTGTCTGTTTTTTTATCACAATTTCTGTCTTGCAATCTAAACTGTTCACTTAACAATTGCACATGCATTTTTAGAGGTCCACCAAGTCACATGTACCACATTTGCAGACAAGTAGTCAGAAATGCAGTCTGCTTTATATTAGAGAATTCCCTAATTTATTTGACTGGGTAACGTATATACAGTACACCTACATGCATACAGGAATACTATATTCTACTTATATACTGTTATTATTGTATATGTACACTATATTTCATAAAATATCTTCAAACCAAACAAGTAATGGTGAAGAAGGCACATTCAACATGGTGGTAAAAGTTGATCTGACAAGGACATCAACCTGTACTGGTGATAAAAAGAGGAAATTACAAATTATTATACATTATCTATTTGGAAATATCATTATCAATTATTGATAATTACATTCGTATTAATTTAAACATTTTCTATTTGGTCTTTTTAGAAAATAGTTGTTTTTCAAAAGCAGAAAAATACCCAATGTGTGGCAAAAGCACTCTGCTTAAGTTCTTAAATGAAATCATAAATTTTATATCGATTTATCAATTCTTTCACTATTTTATATTTCTTATTCATTAGATAATTCTTTTTTTTATGAAAAGAAAAAAAAAAAAAAAGAAAGATGTCAAGACTTGATTAACTAGTCCTCAAAGGACAGATGATAATTTCATTTCAAATCAGTATTGATTTCAACTTTGACACAGGATTATTCAATAGGAAAATTCCTGAAATCAACCAACTGACAAAGTTAATAATAATCTTTACAAGAGATCAACAAAATGGGTAAATTTTTGTATTTTGTTTTTCTATTATTAATGCTAAAAAAAAAAGGAAAAAAAACAAAACTTTTGAATTGCTTTCTTTTACTTTTATTTCTTTCTCTCCATTTTTCCTTTTTTGTCGTGCTTCATTGTAAGTTGTTGAGCAGATACTTTTTAAAATACAGTGCACATACACGAAACGTCTGAAGAGGGACATAACATCCATACATTGGATATGGACAGGCGTTCTATACACAGAAACAAGGGGACCCATCTATTTGATAGAAAACTGATGAGAAACAAAACTTGCCTGTCTGGTGATGTCTGTCCCCTTTCATTTTTGATGGCCTACACTTCACATGAATCAATTTTGCATAGCATCTAAACAAATTCTTTTCACACATGTATAAGAGAATCAAATTCAAAATACATGAGAAAATACACCACACTGCTGCAAAAACCTAGTGTGTTGGTCTGGTATCGATTTTCGGTCCTCCAGTTTATCAACAGTGAACTAGTTTGCTGGGAATGAACTATCCCTCTCCCTTTGAGGCTACGGACATCGATAGTTTCCTTGTATACAAAAATGTGAGACACTGTCGCAGCAACACCTGCAAGTAAAGACTGAGTCATTTCAGCCGTACATTTGGTAACATCATTTTATTGGAATTTTTACAACAGAATTCAATGCAGTATAGTCAGGAAACAATACACCACACACTGCAATTTAGCACGTCAACCAGCAAATGGACCCGAATCATAAGTAAATAGACATCAGGACACCAAAAGTATTTAAATACTTAAGTGTTTAAGTACAATTTGGTATCAACTATAAAATAATAGTTATAACTTCTGCTAAGATATTATTCTTAAGACTATTATTTTTTAACTAAGCGGGATGCCATATTAGGATTAATTTCTTCTTGGAACTTATTAATCTCAGATTTTTGGTTCATGAATGGATTGACTGCAGTGGACATAGGGCAAGAAAGACTTGCTCAAGGTCTAGATGCTTATTTTTAAGGTTTAACTTAAAACCTTTTATTATAATAGGTAAATATCTGTCTATATTTCTGAGACATGGTATTGTAATTATTTACACTATTTAAATTGTCTTCATTTTCATTGCCATATTCACTACATTTCGACCGTTGTACACTCTGGCCTTCTTCAGGATCTGTCTATATTTCTGAGATGAGATATTGTAATTATTTACACTATTTACAGTGTCATGCTGTTGTCCACATTATTGTTGGCATATTCATGACGTTTCAGCCGTTGTATGCTCTGGCCTTCTTCAGGATTTGTTTATATTTCTGAGATAAGGTATTGTAATTATTTATACTATTTACATTGTTCAAACTGTTTGTCCTTATCTTTATTGTCATATTCGTGATTTACAAAGGCCGAAACGTTGTGAATATGACAATAAAGATGAGGATAACAGTTCGAACAATGTAAATGATGTAAATAGTTATAACAGGTAACCTTGCCCATCCAAAACATTTTATATAAGAGTTCCATGATTTATATATGCACTAAGTTGGGGCCATAGAACTGAAAACTTCAATATGGCGTCATCTTCCAAAATGAAACTGTTATTTTAATTCTGTCACTTTAATATTTTATTTTTATTAGATAGGATCAACATAGAAGATTCAAATGTAACGACTCATCTTAAAACGGAGTCTGTCCTTTGATTCAAATAATCAAAATCCACGTGTATAAAGTGCTTTTCACAAAAGTAGACATAATCTGGATTATAAATTTCTGGAGAGGATTAAAGCAGGGTTAATTTGGTTGTATTTCTCATTCATTTCATCCTTGCTCTATAGTTTCACTTTTGTTTTTACAAGAAGAGAAAATAATTGACTACAATGGGCAACGGGCAAAAAGGTACCTCAACTTTATGAATTTGCATTTTGCGTTCAACCTATCCAAGACAGCCGTGTAAATATCAGCTGTCAATGTTCAACCCACTGTAACCTTCCCCATGTATAATCTGCCATTATATGATGACATCATCACAAATAACACAGGAAGTTATGCAAACTTTGACCTCAAACAGTGAGACTTTTAGAGGCTCTATTTACAGGGTGGGTTTGAATGTATTAAATGCTAGAGTTGCAGTACTAAGTTTCATCATTTTACGGTTGAAATGGCTTCATCTAACTACAATAGTTTCTTTGCTTACACTTGTTTGTGGAATTTTCTTACAGCTTCTTGCTTTTCTGTCAACTTTGACCTTTAAAAATTTAAATGCAATGTCAATCGCTATTCCTGCCTTCTTAGTTCCTGTTCTTTTATTGTTCTGTCACGTTAATAATAATTTTTCTTTTTCTCGTATTCTTTCAATCGCAGTAACCCCTTGAGTTTTAGTGGCTTTATTGCCTTGATTTGGGAGAAAGGTTTAAAAAATGTTTTAAATTTAAAATATCTTATACAACATAGTTTGTATAAGAACAATTATGTTTACTGTCAAAAGCCCATTACTATTTACAATGAAGGAATTTGTTAGTTTAGAATAAAGATTGTAAACATCAGTATAAACTATATTAATGTTCTGAATGCATAAGTACATTGTATACTCTATTTTTGCATATTCATTTAACCACCACAAAGAACATTTTCTGCTTGTCGGCAACATGGCTGCCGCTAGACTCCTGTAGAGCAACACATTGCACCTTCTTGACCTTATATTTTTCCCCTGACTTGAAGTAGAGTGACTGCATCTACTGCAAGGAAATTTGGGACACTGTGTCATGTTAGAAAATCTTTCTTGTCAGAATCCATTTTGCACATTTACAAATCTACCATTTGTTCGCACATTGAAGACTGCTGCCATATCTGGTCTGGTGCTCCTGATGCACATCTAGAGATTCTTGACAAAATCCAAAGAAGGATTTGTATCATGATCAACCCTGACCAGGCATCTCAACTTCAGTCACTTTCTCACCAATGTGTCATGGCTTCCCTCTGTCTTTTCTACAAATATTTTCATGGCAACTGCTCTGACAAGCTTTTTTTCCCTGGTTCCCCGAAGACATGAATTTAAGCGTGCTACTAGATTGAAATCTAGGTCCCACCATTTTACTTTTGAAATAACTAAATACAACCGCTCCAACAGTTTTGTTTCTAGCACTTCCTGCCTGTGAAACTCCCTTCCGTTTACTTGCTTCCCTGATAACTACAATCTTCATAAATTTAAATGCAATATCAATCATCAATCTTCTGTCTTCTTGAATCCCATTCAAATTTTGTCCTTTCCTCAATCCACCCTATTCTCAGGCTTCTCTTTCACTTTCAATCCCTGTAACCCCCTATGTACTAGTGGCATTCCTCCCCCCCTTGCTTAGGGCGAAATGATTAAAAAACAAAAAACAAGCCTATTTGCTATTATATCTATAATTCCTCTCCATATCGATAAGCCTTTAACTATATGTCTATTCATGTTAACATGTATGGGGGCGTGGCCGAGTGTTTAGAATGTTTGCTTTCTGATCATAAGACCCGGGTTTGAATCTCACCACGGTTGATTTGTCAGGAAGGAAATTTCCTGATGTTATCAGTCTGGAGAGTTGGGGGGGGAGTGGCGATTCCAGCATGCAGCATCTTTGGAAAGTGCCTAAAAAACCATACTATGGGTTGACCCAAGCCTCGTGAGTTAAACTGGGTGGACGGGACACTTGGGAGGTGGCG